GGTCCAAGACTTGAACTGCAGTTAGCCACATGGGAGTCCAGTGCCTATAACCAGCATGCCACCTGCCAGCCACCACAGTTCCTTCTTTGACACTTGGGTCTCCCTAAGAACATTTGTGATAAATTGGCCTATCCAATAACTCAGGAGAATCTCCAGTCTCAAGATCATTGATCACATCTGCAAATTCCCTTTTGTGGTGTAAAGTAACATATGAGTAGGACATGGACATCTTGGGGGCCATTTTCTTTTCTTTCTTTTTTAAAAGAAATACAAACTATTTATTGTATTGACCACTGTTCACCCATATTTACAATAAAGTAAACAATATACAGTTGGGTAACATTCTGATTACAACAGAGTTATCAGTTTCGGTAACCCACATACTGAAAAGAATGAGCCCTACACATAAAGGATGAGTTGGGATCGGGACCAGCAGTTAGTGTAATTGCTATGTTGCTGGACGCCCATGTAGCCCATGTAGTCGACCGCAGTTCAAGTCCTGGACCCGGTGGCTTAAATTCACGCCAGGTACATGTGCGTGCATGCCCAAGATCCTGAGAGGAGAATAGAGAAGGGATTGTGGTGTGGCCATCCCCCCTGGGGGCTGATTTCTTGCTTTCTGTCTCTCTGTCTTTCTGACGAGCACACATGCCTTATAGAGAAAACCTCTCCAGGGACCAGCATTTAGCGTAATGGCTATGTCGCTGGACTCCCACATAGTTGACCGCGGTTCGCATCCCGGACCCAGTGGCTTAAAACTCATGCCAGGTGTGTGTGCGTGTGTGCCCAAGATCCCAAGAGGAGAATGGAGGAGAAGGGATTGCAGCATGGCCATCCCCCCCCTGGGGGAGTGACTTCTCGCTTTCTGTCTGTCTCTCTGTGTCTCTCTCTGTTTGTCTGGCAAGTGCACGCACCCTATGGCAAAAAAATCCACTTCAAAAAAAAAAAAAAGAAAGAAAGAAAGAAAGAAAAAACCTCTCCAAAAAAAAGGAAAAAAAAAAAAAAGAATGAGTTGGGGTAAAGAAAAGAAACATGGGGGTCATTTTTCTACCACATCCACTGCCCAAATTCACTTCCCATGTATCTTTCCGTGATCTCGGTACACTGGGCCAGGCCTGTGTGGCATTTTGTATACACCATGTTTTCTCACTCGTGCCTTCACAAATGCCAGTCCCTCCACTGGAAAGACTCCTCCCCTCCTGGTTCTCTCTGTGGAACTTTAAGAAACAGTGTAAAACAGTGGTTAAGTGGCCTAACACTGGAGACAGACTGCTTGAGCTTGAATAGGAGTCTGTCACTACTAGCTGTGAAGATTTGGGCAAAAGACAACTTTTCAACCTAGAGTCAAATACCAGATTATAAGAAATACAAGGTATGGAGAAACCAAAGTATATTACACCACAGGGAAATAAGAACCTAAATCCTGAGTGTGTCATGATCAACAGGCACAAATTGCCTGATTTGAAAAATTATTATTCAGTAAGTGTGTGAGGGGGGAGATGGTTTAAAGAAGACTAAATGAGACAACAACCAAATGCAATGTGTAGGACTCATTTGAAAGTCCGTTCAAACAAACTGACTGTAAAAAGGCATTGGTGAGATGGTAAAATCTGAAACTAAACCAGCTCTCAGAACAGACAGGTGGTTATTTTTCTCAAATTTTGAGATGTACCTTTGAAGCACAAAAATTTACCCAGAAGGATTATTTAAGAGTAAGATGGGGTGGGGGGCAGCAGATGGCTTAATGGCTACCTGGCTGGACTCAGGGGAAGGGACTGCAGTGTGGCCATCCCCCCCTGGGGGGTGATTTCTTGCTTTCTGTCTCTCTCTGGCAAGCGTATGTGCACTATAGCAAATAAAACTCTCAAAAAAAAAAAAAAAAAAAGTAAAATGGAGTTGGTTGTGTAGTCAAGTGGGTTGCATGCTGTACATTTGGAAGCTAGATCCCATATGGTTGACTGGTTTAAATCCTGGCCCTGGTTGGCTTCAAGAACACACCACGTACAAGTGCATGCATGTCCAAAATCTGAATGGGAAAGAGATATGAAGGGAAAAGGATTGTAGTGTGACCATACCCTATCAGGGGCGCTTTCTCTCTGGCGATTAAAAAAAAAAAAAGATTTAAAGGACATATCTGGGACCAGCAAATGGTGTAGTGGTTATATCCCTGGACTCCCACATGGTCGACCGTGGTTTCAAGTCCCAGACCCAGTGGCTTCACTATCACGCTGGGGGGGGCAGCAGTTAGCGTAATGGCTATGTCACTGGACTTCCATGTAGTCGACCGCGGTTCGCGTCCCGGACCCGGTGGCTTAAATCTCACACTGGGTGCGTGTGCGTATATGCCCAAGATCCCGAGAGGAGAATGGAGGAGAAGGGATTGCCGTGTGACCATCCCCCCTGGGGGG